TCGTATCTGTGGTGACAGTACCTCAAGCCGAACGAGTTACCAGATATCCTCCGCAACGACCAGAACAGCCTCTCCAGGAGGATTTCATTCCTACTACACCGCCACGGGCAATAACTCCTGATTACCCGCTCGCAGGCCTTTCTCCACTCGTTAGGCACGAGCAACCAATCTCTCCAAATACATCGGCAACTTCACCAACCGAGACTATCGTATCGTGGTTATTAGAACGCTTAACGCTACCACCGCCGAGATTTAGCCGACCACGGCATCCACCTCTAGGACCACTGGATCCACGAAATTCACGTCCCATATCACCAAGTTCCGACATAACCACTGCGGACAGGTGGACCCAGACAGGCTCCTACGCTACAGCACGGAAGCAGAAGCAGCAGGATAGACGAAATAAGCTATCTCAACGAACTAAATTGAAACAGTTCTTCTAAGAACTCACCACCGGCCCTTCTCAGGGCCCCAATCTATCAAACGCAGAACATTTGTTTTGGTATCCGGACAATAAGTAACGTAGCTCCCACGAAGCTACAATCACATTTCAAACAGGTGTCCTAATCTAAATAATTACCCACTTTCCTTTTATGTTACATTTTATTTTATTTGTTTTTATTTTATTTTGCTTTTCTCTTCTCCAGTAATATTTAATCATTTTAAAAGTTTCATTACTTGATGGATTAAAATGAATTCCAGTTTTATTTGATTAGAAAATGCATACTTTTATCGTATCTTTTGACTAGTGTATATTGTTTTTTGTAGTGTGATTATCTCACCTCTTTTGGATCTACTAGTGATGAAAAGAAAGCTGCAACCATAATTATGCAAAAAGTAATGTATAATTCCCTGGCAAAAAATTATAATTTTGATGGCCATGGTGATAAAATAGGCTTCAAAACACTTAACCTGTGGACAGTTATTGAAGGTAAAATTCTAATGTCTTGTTGGTTTGAGTTTTAATTAATATTGTCTTTTCTATCATCCTTTACAAATTTGGAGTATAACTTTATATCAACAAACTTTGAAATAATAATCCTATAATTGTGATATGCATTATAATTATTTTCTTTAAATATACTGTGCTTATATCCTTGTTGTAAATATATTTTATGTAATATATCCGGGCTCCCAACGGGAGAGTACGTTACTGTGCGACACAGCGTCACGGGAACGTGTGCTTCGAGACTCAGATCGCTCACGGAAGGCGAGCGTGACACACGTGTAGTTAATACAGAATTCAATTACGAATTACCGCCCTATTCATTACCGATCCTAATACATAACAATTGGCGACGAGGACAGTGGCTGTCGAACTCAAGTGCATATTTTGTGGAAAAGTAACGTTTATAACGTAGCATTCGTGAACCACAGTATACGAGGCACGCGGGAAGAGGAATTCTCGGAATTCACGGGAGTAATACAAGGACAGGTTCGGTAAGAAGACTCGACGATTAATTATCAGCGGAGTCAGCAACAGAGTAGACGGAAGTAGGGAGTAGACGGAAGATTAAGAAAACGAGTAGAGCAAACGGTAATTAATGAATAGATTTCGTTCAAATGTCGGGATCAAGTAAAGACATAATTGACTATACGAAAACGTCGTGGATCCAAGAATTGAAAAAAGCACAATTAACTCAAATACTGCAAAAATTAGAAATTAAAATTGAGGCCAATGCTAACATCGACGAATTACGCAGAGTCCTACGCGCTCACATAGAGGAAGTAAACATCAGGCGAGCCGCAGAACATAACAAGAAGTACGTTGAAGACGAGAACGACGACAGGCAAGGAAATAACACTATTCACACAATGACGGGCAATAACGGAACCAAGTTAGAGTTTCAGCTGGGAAGGGACGATTGGGAAATGTACGCCGAACGTCTTGAGTTATATTTCGTAGCTAACGATGTGAAGGAAGAGAAACAAGCCGCGGTATTGCTAACAAAAATAAGTGCCGACACTTATAAACTTGTTCGAGATTTATGCGCACCCGATAAGCCAAGTACGAAGACATTCAAGGACTTGGTGAAATTAATAAATGACCATCTGAACCCGAAGCCGTCAGAGACGATGGAACGGTGCAAGTTTCATAAGGCGCAACAAACAGAGACAGAGACAGTAGCCGAGTTCGCGGCAAAATTGAAAAGTTTGGCAATTACTTGTAATTTCGGTGATGTTTCGATAGCATTGAGAGATCAGTTTGTATGCGGACTAAAAGATCACGCTACAAAGACGTTGCTGTTCCGTGAAGATAAACTAACGTTCGAGACAGCGTATAGATTAGCAACTACACTGGAAGCAGCGGAGAAAAACGCATCCTCGACTGATAAAACGAATCCAACGACAGAAACGACAAAAGAATTAGTGAACAAGATTCACGCGAAACCAAAGGACCGCCAATGCCAGTCGAGGGGAAGAGGCTCCTATAGTGGCAAACGAGGCAACCGACGATACAACGCAAGGCAGAGGAGCAAGGGCAATCAAGAGGCGAGCGGTAGCGCAAATTCAAAACGCTCATCAGCATGCTATTGTTGCGGGAAAAATAATCACTGGGCTCGTGATTGTCATCATCGCCAGAGTACGTGCAATACGTGTCATAAGAAGGGACACCTGTCAACAGTATGCAGAGTAAAAGGGTCCATTCAGCAGTTGGAACGAGAGTCAGAACGAGAGGAAGAGCAACAAGATGGCTACGACTTCTACGCGATGACCATCGGCGAGAGGACTAGCGGTAACATGAAGCGTTCTAATGTAAATATGATAGCAGATCCTATGTATTTAGAGGTAATGATCAATGGTAAAGCGATAAGAATGGAACTTGATACGGGCTCGTATGTAACGGTGATCTCTAGGAAAGATAAAGATAAATATTTCCCGGAATGTAAAATTGAAAAGAGCAACATGTCGTTAAATGCGTACGGTAGAGTTCCACTGGAACACGAGGGAATAATAGATAAGTTAAATGTAAAATTGGGCAAACGAAGTGCAACCCTTAAAATGAGAGTTATGAAAGGTAACGGTCCGATTTTAATTGGAAGGCAATGGTTAAAAGCATTAGGATTATGGCCGTTAGAATTAATAAATTGATGGATTGCAATAAAATTAATTTAAATGTAACGAGGGATTTTGCAACAAGGTTTCCTAAATTGTTTGGTAAGGGTCCAGGTTGTTATAACAAGGGGATGTTAAAACTAAGAATTAAAGAAGACACAAAGCCGGTAGCATTAAAAGCGAGACATTTACCTTTTGCATTAGCGAGTAAGGTAGAAGACGAATTAAAAAGGTTAGTTTCGTTAGGTCATCTTGAGAAGATTGACGTTAGCGAATGGGCGACACCGATCGTACCAGTAATAAAAGCGGACGGATCAGTTAGAATCTGTGGCAATTTCAAATTGACCTTAAATTCTTGGTTAATAAAAAACAGACACCCGATACCTTTGATCGACGAGATTTTTATAGCGTTAAGAAATGGCAAAACGTTTTCACAGATTGATCTCCAGCATGCTTACATGCAAATACCAGTAGAAGAAAGCAGCCGGGATTACTTAACTATTATAACGCATAAAGGTCTCTACAGATACACAAAAATGACGGAAGGTATAGCGTCGGGTCCGGGAGATTTCCAACAGAAAATTGAACAATGTATAGCGGGAATTGAAGGCGTAATTGCGTATCTTGATAACATATACTGCACGGGAAAAGATGACGAAGGTCATCTGAAAGCGTTATGCACGGTATTTGAAAGACTTGAGCAATGTGGCTTTCATGTAAATATAAATAAGTGTGAGTTTTTCAAAGAGAAATTAGATATATTGGGGTTTGTTATTGATAGAAACGGGCTACATAAATCGCAAACAAAAGTAAAGGCAATGACACACACCCCAATTCCAAAGGGGAAAAAGCAACTAGAATCCTTTATGGGTCTGATTACATATTACGCGAGATTCCTACCGAATAGAGCTGAAAAGTTAAAACCACTTTATGATTGTGCAAAGCTCGAAACTTTCAAATGGACGGCAGATTGTCAGAAAGCGGTTGACTGGGTGAAAGAAGAATTGACTTCACCGCGGGTACTAGCACATTATGATCCGAACGAAGAGTTGATTTTATCCTGCGATGCTTCTACATATGGCTTAGGCGCGATACTTTCGCATCGGTACAAGGACGGGACAGAGAAGCCAATAGCGTTTGCATCAAAAGTTATTCCGGAAAACGAGTTAAGTCGTGCGATTATTGATAAGGAGGCAAGTGCAATTGTGTTTGGATTCAAGAAATTTTACAATTATGTCTACGGAAAAGACATTACGTTAAGGACAGATCATAAACCTTTAGTTTATATCTTCGGCCCGAAACAAGAAATTCCATTAACGGTAGCCAGCCGATTACAAAGGTGGGCATATTTCTTATCTAGATTTACATATAAGATAGAGTATATAAAATCACAGGAAAATAGTAACTGTGATGCACTCTCGAGACTTCCAATCAATGACAGCACGCCGATATTTGAGAACGAGTTCACAGCGATAAATTACGTAGCGGAATCGTTAAACACGATAACTGCGAGAGAAATTGCGATAGGGACAAAGAAGGATAAACGGTTGAGTAACATAATTCGATACATAAAGGGTGCATGGCCAGCGGTAAGAGAGATGAGCGAATACGAGAAAAAATTCTATACGAAACGAGAAGAGTTATGTGTCGAAAAAGAATGTTTGTTGTGGGGGTACCGCATAGTGGTTCCAGATACAGTGAAAAACAGCGTATTAAGTGAGTTGCACGCCTCACATTTTGGGGTGGTAAAAATGAAAATGTTGGCAAGAAGTTACGTGTGGTGGCCGAATATAAACAAAGACATCGAAAAGGTCGCGGCAGAATGTAAAGTGTGTGTACAAGAGCGAAAGAAACCAAGTAATGTTCCACTAAATCCGTGGCCGTACCCGGATCATTGTTGGAGCAGAATACACATTGATTTTTTGGGTCCATTCCACGGACATACGTTTATGATAATTATAGATGCTCATTCAAAGTGGGCGGAAGTTGTCGACATGAATAAATGCACAACGGTACCGAGAGTTATTGAAGAGTTTAAAAAAGTTTTAGTCAGATTCGGATTACCAAGCATTTAGTCACCGACAATGGTACGCAGTTTACAAGCAAAGAATTTAGAGATTTCTGTGCAAGCAACGGGATCAAGCAGAGCTTTACAGCGGCGCATCATCCAGCAACAAATGGCGCCGCTGAGAACTTTGTGGGAACCTTTAAAAATAAAGTCAATAAAATTATGCAAAGCGGGAAATCTCTTGATTATGCTGTTAATCTTTTTTTATTTGATTACAGATCAATTGAACATTGCACAACTGGTAGATCACCAGCGTTCATGATGTATAAGCGCGAGATAAGAACGCGTTTTGATTTAATTAAACCAAGTGTTGCGGATCAAGTAGGGAACCGACAAATAACGCAAGTGGAAAACAAACGCGGCAGTCGAAATGTTGAATTCCATACAGGCGACACGGTAATGGTTGATGACTTTAGTGTTAGAAGCAACAAACGGGTAAAGGGCACGATAATAAGAAAATTATCACCGGTAACATTTAAAGTGAAGATCGCGCCTGATAAAATATGGAAACGACATGTCGACCAGATTGTTCGATTCCGAGCGGCAACCGATAATAGCGATAAGGGTACAGCGGTACCGGCGAGCAAACCTGACGTTGCATTGCGACAATCGGAGGGTTTAAAAAACAGATGTATTTCAAAATAAAGAGGGAGGAGTTGTAATATATCCGGGCTCCCAACGGGAGAGTACGTTACTGTGCGACACAGCGTCACGGGAACGTGTGCTTCGAGACTCAGATCGCTCACGGAAGGCGAGCGTGACACACGTGTAGTTAATACAGAATTCAATTACGAATTACCGCCCTATTCATTACCGATCCTAATACATAACATTTTATATTTCTTTTTCTTTCTGTTTAACTTAATACGAATGTTCTTATTCTTCAAGATTTCTTTGTTTGTTGTTTTACAGGGGCTTTGTTAATCAAATTTCCAGACAGCGACCTTGATGTTGCACTTAAAACTATAAAGTCATGATTACGAAATGCCAGTGGTAGGAAACAAGAGGAGTGTAATGGCTCTGATAGTCATTAGGCAAAAGGCCTGGTACAATGGAATCATAATTTGATTTGAAAAATATTATCGTATTGTTGTATTTTATAATTAACATTTTAGTACACAATGTTAAAAGTATAGGTCCCTTTGTTTATTTTTTTGCATAACGAAGAAATTAAGAAAATAAAATTAAAAAACAACAAATTTTCAGTTTTAATTGGTTTTGTTGATTTATGCAGTGGTAAAATTAAAGAAATTAATTTTCATAAACATATATTTAATTGTTCGAAAAATGTGTTCTTTTATATCGAAACTTTGTTTAAAAATACGACTATCTGCATTTAATAATAGCCTGATAGATCACTAAGAAAACAGTTATTGTATACATACAGGGTGATTCAAAATAGGTATAGTGTCCCTGAAATGTCGTATTCCTGATTAAATTCTAAGACGATTTTTCTCTTACAAAATGTTCTCCGAAGCTTAGTTTTTGAATTATTAAAAGAAATAGTCAGCGAATAACTGGCCGAGTACAAGAGGCAGACAGGAGCGGCGCCGCGGCGCCCGGCGGC